TGACCCCCCATCTCCTTCTCTGTCAGTCACCATGCCTGCCTCTCCACGTGGGGCTCCCGGAATGGGTGCCAGGCACCTGGCACGTGTCATTTCCTGTCCTCTTTGCAGAAATGGATTATCACCCCGTTCCTTATGTGAGGAAATGGAGGCCGAAACTGTGCAGCAAGTTTACGGATCGGAACCTACGGCCATCTGGGCCAAGCACATATTCTGCCCCTTACACCACCCTGCCGCACACCTGCCAAAAAGATATTTTAATAATATCTTTTATTTCACCCTATTTGCTTTATTCCGGGCAGGATTATCAGTGCTCAAACTAATTTTTTAAAGTACGTATAACCATCCCAAGAACGTCCTCATTTGCAGATAAGGGTGTTGGGCACAGAGAACTTAAGTAACTGGTTCAGGGTCACACAGCTAATAAATGGAAGAGCTAGGATCTGAACCCAGGCAGCCGACTTCATAGTCCATCCTCGTACCCGCTGCGGTTTATTATTATGAGCATAGCTTATCCACAGATCAACTGAATATGCCATATGCATATATGTTCATATGTGTTCATGCACCACTTACATATCATAAAGTAACTATCGACGTTCATGATTTTGATTTGCTTATTTAGATTGCAGGGCGTTTTTTTCTGTACTGACAAGATTCCATGACACAATTGTTACAAGTTCATTTCTTATCCTAACCCTTACCCAGGTGTCCTATGGATCCAGTGTAATGTGATTAAGACCTTTTTTTTTAACCCGAAAAAAAAATTCTTTTCAAACTCAAACAAAATTAATTTATTTTCAGCAAGCCTGGAAGGGCCCAGCCACGGAGAAGCCCTGGGACTCTGGGCCTCCTGCTCACTCTCCCGCTGGTCTTTACACCTCTCAGTCCTGTCTTTGTTGGGGTGGCATTTCTGCTGCAGGCTTCATTGCTTGCCTCCTGCCCCCTGCCTGCCTCTTCTGGTCTTTGTGCAGAAGTTGTTCTCAAGCCCTGCACAAAAGCCCCTTGTCCCCAGGTCTCCTTGTCACACACTCCCTGTGTTTCCAGGTGCTCTGAGACCATGGTCCTGGGCCGGTCTCACCAGAACACAGAGGCTCTGGGCTTACTGAGAGCTTCACCTCTGTGAGCGCGAGGCTGTGGGCTCATCCCTGTGGGTGTTTAACACTTAGGGAACGGTGCGGCGTGAGGGTCTCTTGAGGACGGTGGCTCTCTGTCTGTTCTGCAGACCCTGAGTCGGTTACAATAGGCTTCCATTCCTTCACGGAACATCTGTTACATGCAACTGTTTCTTTGCAAGTGCAACTTTGTCTTCTATCTTGACACACACAAATTAGGAAAATGCTCAATGTTGCAAGTGCTTGAGGAAACAGGAAAGGCACCGTGAGGCGCTCACTCCCTGGCTCTGTGCACAGGCAGGTGATCTGGGCTCTGTTCGGGGAGGAGCTGAGGTCTGGGGGACGAGCATGGAGTTCTAACCACAGTGCAGTTATTAGTCCACAGGAAACATCCTGTTACTATTATAAAGATGAAGTGCTCCTTTCTTTTCTTCTTCTTCTTTTTTTAAATAAAGAACTTTCAAAATCTTCCTTTCCATTCTGATTTAGTTCAAGTCTGTGAGGCAGGAAGGTCTCAGGCAGCCAGGCCTGTGACATTAGCTAATCAGACTCCCAAGAAACATTCCATTCCGCTTAGGAGGGCTTTGGAGAATGGTTTGCTCATGGTGGCTTTTAAAACAAACGGAGGGTTGCCAGGCTGAATGGGCTCCCTGCGGGGCTGCTGACCTGGTTCCAGGCTGGTGCCCAGCACGCCTGCCTCCTGCTGGGACAGTGGACATGCCACTGAACATGGCTGCCTGCCTGTTCCCAGTTCTTGAGGGATGCAGTAGAAAGCCTTGCATTCTCTGTCCCTTCCCATTTTAAAATTGGGAAAACTGAGGCTCAGGAGAGTAATAATAATAGCCAACACACAGAGCACTTTGTGTTAGTGTATCTACAAACATGGAGGGGAGGAAGACCATGGCATGATGGCAAGGATGGTTTCATCCTGGTTCTAACACTCCGAAGCTGTGAGACCCCATGTAAGTCACTAAATCTCTATGAGGCTCAGTTTCTTTGTTTGTTAAATACTGATAGTAATACCTATTCTACAGGGTTGTTGTAAGAAGAGAAACAATGACTGCAAAACACCTAGAGTAGTGCCTGGCACTTAGTAGGTGCCTGGTCAGCGGTCTTTATTTCTATCGGGGACATGGTGCAAGCCAATGATAGAGTGAACAGTGTTTTCCAGTCCCTCTAGACAGTAAGAATGACCCAAGACAGTGGATAAAAGTTGGTAAGAATACCCATTCCCAGGCCCTGTTCTGCACAGCCTGTAGAAAATGGGAATCTGTACCATAACAAGCCACTGGGTAACTCCTGCCAGGTACTTCCGGAACACATCCAGAGACCTCCATGCCAGCCTCTTGGTTTGGCTCTGATATTTCCTATGAACCTGGGTTTATATTCAGCAAAGCTGTAGCTTCTGCTTGAAGGTGGACATGATTAAAAGGTCAAATGTCATTATACATTATATTCTCAGAGACTGTGCCCTGAACTTTGCACAGTAGATTTATCCCTGAAAAGCTGTTTGCAAATGGAGGTGTGTGTGTGTGTGTGTGTGTGTGTGTGTGAGAGAGAGAGAGAGAGAGAGAGAGAAAGAGAAATAGAGGAGGGGGTTGAGGGGGCGGAAAGAACAGGCATATATTTAATACCTCAGCTTGCAGTTCAAAGGAGTACATGCCATTCAACTAAATAATATTGTTTGAGTGACTTTTGTGCTGGGCGTGCAATGATAAGATGTAGCCCATGTATTCAAGGGGCTCATTTAAGAGTTCTGTGAGGAAGATGGTCAAGGAGGCAATTTGTGGTTAGGTAGGGTTCACACTGGGGGAGCCAGGAGACCGTGGTGGGGGGTAAGCACTCGACGTGGGGCTGGGGAGTCTGGGAACTTCAAGGGGAAGTAACATCTGAGGGAGAGACCTATCAATTGGCATCAAGTCTTTCTCTCTCTCTTTTCTTTTTTGCAAAGTGAATGACACTTCCCTAATTTATCCTTGCAGAAATGAATCTTCACATCACGGTTCCCCTGGATGCATTTATACAAGCCCGCTGCAGACACAAGCTTTGAGTTCCTGCTGGGGGGAGGCACAGAGCGAGGTGTGGCGGTTGCCCAGGGAGAGAACAGCCAGTCCCTGCCCTCAGGGAGTTTGCACTGCAATTCCACAGGATTCACTTCTGTCCTCCTCTGGGCCGTTAATCCAGTGTAATCTGTGTAAGACCGAACACGTCATTTACCACTCAGGTCTTAACTCCTTTCACTGAAAGGCCGTGTGTTCTCCTTCATCACCACGTGGTGGGGAAATCCCATTCCCACCAACACTTCCGTGCGGGCATCCATTTCATCCAGGAGAAAACCAGAGGGCACGCTGCAGTTTCCAGAGCTGTCTGCCAGGAGGCCATGGAGGCTGGGTGGGTCCCCAGGGTCTGTGGGGCCTGTGAATATGGGGGGGCCAGGGCGGCCTGCAGACCTGGTGGCTTTTCCTCCTCCCGGGCACCAGGAACATGACAGCCTTTCAAACCACCTGTCTCCGCTCAGATGGGGAGGAGGGGGGTGGACAGGGCTCCTCGTGAATTATGATGACATCATGTTTAAACAAAAGGTGGCAAGGTGGCAGTCCACAGGTGGGTCCTCTGACCTTCTCTGCCTGTCTGGTGAGAGCTGTTTGGACCCTTTCAGTGCAGGTGTCTTCCCTTCTGCACAGAGGGGGTACCTGCAGGCAGTGTTAGTCACCTGGCCGTTTGCGCCCTCTGCACAGAGAATCTACCCCCAGACCAGTTATTCTAGCTTTCAGAATCCCACCCCCCAAACACGAACGCCCACCCTCCCGTTCCCTGCTTCTCAGAAGGCCGAGCCTGAATCATCCACCTTCAGCTTCTTTGCCAAGTTGCTCCCACTTCCTGAGGCGTTACCCCCTCTTTCCGCTTGGAGAAACCCAACCCGGCCTTCAAAGGCCAGCTCAGGTGTCACCTCTTTCTTTGGTTGGCATTCACCTCTCCCTCCCTGCACTCCTTGGTTTGGCCCTTTCTCTCATTACCTTTCTTGGGCAACTGGCTTCGCCTCCCAGGTCCTCAGTTTTCTCCCCGGGCACGGGCGCAGCAGCAGCATCTGCAGCAATCTTTAACCCCGTTAGTCGTGGGCTTCTTTGACAACGGGACGAAGGCTGCTGGTCTTGAGGACTTTCCCCTTCATGGCTGCGTGTAGTCACCAAGCACGTCTTTCTAGCCGGACACTAGCGGTAGTACGTTCATCTCACCGACGAGGAAAGAAGGCCCAGAGGGGTGAAGTGCCCGTCCCCAGGCCACACAGCTAAGCAGCACCAGCAGAGCCAGAGGTGCACCGTGTGCCAGAGCTGGGGGCCTAACCGCGGGACCCGCTCCGACGCCGGCTCTCCGCCTCCCGGGCCGGGCAGCGGGGCGCGCAGAACACAGCGCACAGCCCTGTGTCCTGCAGTTCGGGGGTTTCGGAGCCCCAAGCCCACCCACTGGCCAGGTCAGCCAGGCCTTCGCCGGGTTGCTCCCTAAACACAGGCCTGGCTTGTGCCCTTGGTAGGGCTTTCGGTCAGCATATGGTGACCCAAACCCGGGGCCCGGGGGGGGGACCGAGGCTGGGGCGCCGGTACCGTGGCGTGCGGGCTCTCGGCGTCCCGGGTCCTCGGTCCCAGGAATGTGGGAGGGCCCGGAGGAGAAGGCGGCGGGGCGGGGGCGCTTCCTCTGCCCGCGGGAGGGGCGCCGCGGAGGCGCGCGCCGGGCGCGCCGCTGCCCCCTCCCCACCGCCCGGCCCGCGGGGCGGGGGCGGGGGCTGCCGCGGAGGGCGGCGAAGGGGCCGCGGGGCTCGGCCGCCGCCGGGCCGGCGGGGCGGGAGGAAGCGATGAATATTCAGAGGGGGAGGGGAGCAAAGGGCGGGAGCGCTCGCCGCGGCGCCCTGCAGCCCGAGCCGCATGACGCGCAGAGGAGGCAGCGGGAGCCGCCGGAGCCGCGGGAGCCGGGACCCCGTTGCCGCGCACGGGGGGTGGGCGCCGCTTGCTCCGCCCCGCGAAGCTCCTGCGCGCCCAGGGACGGGTCCCCTCCGCGACCGCTGCGCCGGGCCCAGCCGCGGGGCCGCCGCTGCTGCCATGTCCCCGGGGAAGCCCGGGGCGGGCGGAGCGGGGACTAGGCGGACCGGCTGGAGGAGGCGGAGGCGGAGGCGGTGGCTGCAGGCGGCGAGCGGGGCGCCCGGGCTCGGGCGCACGGCGGGGCCGGACTCGCGCGGCCCGGACACGTTCCAGAGCGCGCGGGGCATGAAGCCGGCGGCGCGGGAGGCGCGGCCACCTCGGCGCCCGTCCCGGCTGCGCTGGGCGCTGCCGCCGCTGCTGCTGCTGTGTCGCCTGGGCCAGGTGAGCGGCCTGGGGCCCGGACGCGGGGGGCAGGGCGGGGCGGGACTGGCATCCCCGGCACCTGCCCGCGGTGCCGCCTGCAGGGTTGGGGGAGGTGAGGGCCCGGGTCCTAGGGAAGCCTCCCGGAGGGCTGGCGGGAAGCAGCCGGCCTCGCAGGCCGGTGACCGAGCCGGTCACCCTGCTGCCCGGCACCAGAGGGCGGGCGGCGGGCCCCGGGGTCCCGGGGTGCCCGGAGCCTCCGTCCGACGCCCCCGCGGACTGCAGGCCGTCTCTGGCCCGCCCTTCCCGCAGCTGGTTCGGTCTGCAGACCCGGCTCGCCAGCCGGAGGCGACCGGAGGGGGCGTGTGTGATGAGGACGCCGGGCGCGGAGCGGGGCGACCGGGCCTGCAGGGCCCGAGGGGCTGGGCGGAGGGGCAGCGGCGATGGCCCGGGGCCGGGTCGCGGGGCAGGGGGCGAGGGGCCGAGGGCACGGCTTTTGGGGAAAGTTGCCCCCTCCAGGCAGGGGGGCTGCACGCCGGGGTCCCTCCCGCGGACGGTCCTCTCCCCGGGGAAGCCGGTCGCCTCGCCGGGGGTTTACTTCGTGCTCGGTGGGCGCCGGCTCGCCCCCCTCGGCCCTGCGTTCTCGCTTCGCTTTTCGGATAATGCTGCGCCTGGCGTTTCGGGGACCGAGCTTTCGCAAAGCTGCGTTTCCCCTCGGTGCCGCCCCCCGGGGGGAGGCAGGGCAGCTGGGAGGCTGCCCACCGCACGGAGGGGCCTGGAGGGAAGAAGGGAAAGAGCCGGGCGCCCCGCCCGCGGTTCCTCGCAGCCTTCCAGGAGCCCGCTCGGGGCTCGAACCCGCCGTGGAAAGGGCTCTGGTGATGACGCCCCGCTGCGCGTTTTGTTCATGAAAATCTTGCTTGTTTTACACCGACAGGCGCTCTAAGGGGCCGATGACGTTCGAAACCTGGCAAGTCAGTTACGACTGGGGATGGAACTCGGTTTCAGGGAAAACTTTTCACGCGCCTTGGGGAGCAGTGCAGCCCGGCAGGCGGGCGGCGGCGGAGCCCCGGGGGCCACTGTCCCCTCGCCGCGGTCCTCGGCAGGCTCCGAACTGGCTCCTCGGAGGGCCCGGCAGCAGCGTGACCTCGTGCAGAGAACCCTGGGTCAGGCGTCCGAGGGGGCTCCGGGGCTGGACTCCGGCGTTCGCAGGGCGGGTCGCGGCCACCTGCCCCGCGGGCCGGGGCTCCCCCTGGCCAGCGTCTGAAAGAGCGTTGTAGGGAGTAAAGGGTGTCCAGGCGGGACTGTCACGAAGGTGTAGTGTGCGGGGGACTGTTTCCTCCCTGTTCCCGCAAGGAAGCTCTGGGGAACAGTCTGTGAGATTAAAGAGAGAGAGAGAGAGAGAGAGAGAGAGAGAGAAAAGAAAGAACCTTATAATTGAAGAGCTCTTGCACCAAAATTTATACTAAAGACATGCTTGTTCTTCACTTATTTTTAGTTTAATTTGGTGCATGTATATTTCATTACATTACATTATTACATTTTTAATTTTGTTTTTGCTTCTGTCCTGGTGGTTGTTAGCGGTGCTTTGGATCAGCGAAACATTTCTTCGGTAAATTTATTTCTTGCTCAATCCTTTTCTTGAATTTCAGTAGCATATTGCCTGCCACTCCACACTTGTCCCTATTCAGATATTTCCTTCCGCTCCGATTTATTCTGCAGAAACTCAAGAGGACTCTATTTCTCATTTTTTTTTTTTGGATACGTTATAAAATAGGAACTCTAAAAGGCTCTCTGAAAAAGGATCTTCAAATTCACATTTGGCAGTTCATTTTGATGCTGGATATGTCAGGGAATCAATGAATTTTTGATCTGGACCAGTCTTCCCAGGTGCCTCAAACCCCTCATTTCTTTTAGGTGAGGACACTGAGGCCCAGAGGAGACAGTGACCTGGCTGAGGTCGCCTGCCATTGCCTCGCATTTTTCACTTTGCTCTTACTTTTCGAGGTCGGGACTGTCCTGCCTCGTTTCGTGTGTCCCTGGAGCTGTGGGTGTGAACGGTTTCTCAGCATCAGGCCATGTTTGAAGTTAGAAGTCGCGTGGAAGATTTTCGAAGCTGGCGTGTTTAGGACATGTGGGTGCAGGTATCTGACTACCTCCCTAACACAGGACTGACTTTGTGTGGCTTGGATAGTGTGTGTGTGTGATTTAAAAAGGCATCCCACCTACAGCAGGGTAAGGGAAGGGGCGAGGCGTGGAAAAGGCACAGCTCGGTTGGAGCAGGAGTGAGGACTGGTGTGGAAGTTGGGAGGCCAAGATGCCGGAGGCCTCAGTGCTTAGTGGGGCCGGAAAAGCAGTTTTCGACTCTGGCATCTCATCCCCAAGACAGGAAGGCCGGGTGGAGATGATTCCAGCGCGAGGGTTTTGCTGGTTGCAGTGCCCGACCCCGCCCATTCTTGCAGCATTTTTGCACACTATTTTTGGTTTATGTGTATGTTTTCGTCAGTGTGACAAAGCAATCCCCCCTTGCCTCCTTCTCTTGAGAAATGTAATCCTGACATATTCTTTATGAAGTCAGCTGGATAGTGGGCTGCTTTAAAAAGGAAAAAAAAAAAAGCTGGTGACTGACAGCTGTCTGGTTGGTCTTCTGGAGCTGTGGGTTTGCATATTCTTTGCTTTCTTGTTTACTGGGGAGTAATAACAGTTTGTGTTCACTGTCTGCTGTAGCTAGTCCTTGAGCCTGCTTGCCAACCTGCTTCATCCAGAGTACAAAAAATATTTTAACTCCTCTTTATATTGCTTGTTACATTCTCATATGGGTGACTTTAAATATTTTTGTTTTGCTTCAGAACAACAACGGGAAAACCAAATTTTATGTTTTGTTTGCAGACAGTTTAAGAAAACAGAGCAAATTGGTTTATGGTTAGACTGTGACTTTGAGCTGACTTCAAGTTCAGCCCCACGATAAAGATAACCGCGGAATACCCAAGCTGTCCTTAGCAGGGAGAATGAATCCTGGCTCCTGAGTGAGTAATTTTGGTCAGCAAAGAGGTTATTTAGCTCCTAAAAGTAATTTTTCCTTGGGGTTGAGGCCTAGGCAGAGCTGCAGTGTGACCGTAGGCCTGGGTTTAGCCAGCCCATCATCAGCAATTACTTCTTAGTTCATTCACTGCTAGGCCAAGGGGATTATTTTGAGTGCAGCGTTAGAGGCAATTTCCGGTGCATTTCCCTTCTAACATCATGCTGTCCATTGGTGATATTGTAACTGACATCATGCTGTTGATTGGTAGTGTTGTCATTAACAGGTAACAGTGCATGTGGCAGGCACTGAGCGAAGGGCTTGCACGCATTCCCTCATTTGATCGTTTCGGAAATAGTAAGAGGTGGGTGCTGTCACCTTCCCATTTCATCTGAGAGAAAACTGAGGTTCAGAAGTTACCAACGACTCATAAGTGGTAGGTGGCAGAGCCAAGCCTAGTGTCACCATGGCTGCGGGTGACTGTCCTGCGCTGTGAGAAGTCGTGTGTTTTAGGGAAGGTCTTGAGAGTACCACTAACAGATGGGACTTTTGTGTCAAGGGACAGGCTGGTGGGGCCCAAACCCTGATGGGGCTGGGAGTCGTCTCGCCTTCTCCGAATCCGAAATTCTGTAGCATCTACTCTTTTTGTATCGTGGACAAACAAGGGGCCTTCCTTCTTGCTCATGCTTCTTGGGGAGCCTGAGCTTATGAGTCAAGCCTGCCTTCGTGCAGACAGGATGGGGCTTGGACCTGGGTCCAGCTCCGCACTCAGCCGCTCAGTAGCTGCGTCCACTTGGGCAATGCAGTTGAAGTACATGACTCCTCATTTTCTTATCTGGGGAAAGGGACTAACACTTCCTGCTCCAGTGGGCAGTTGAGAGGATCGAACAAGATAGAAGAAGAGCTGCCACGTAACATCTAAGACACAATTCAATGGCTGGATGAGGCTGCTGTTGTTATTTGTGGGGGGAGAAGTGGGGCTTCAGATCATTAGTTTCTATACAAAACACTTATCAAGCATTTTGTGTAGGGTTTCCTGGGGCATGTGCAAAATGAGCTTAGTTCAGTCTTAAAACATTTTTCTATTCTCACTTTTTAGACAGAGAGGAGAGAGAGAGAGAGAGAGAGAAAGAGAAAGAAACCATTGATTGGTTGCTTTCTCACTGACTCTGCAACCTGGGTATGTGCCCTGACCAGGAATCAAACCCATAACCTTTTGGTCTGTGGGATGATGCTCTAAACAACTGAGCCACATGGGCCAGGGCCCAAAACATTTTTTAAATGTTCAGAATTATTTATTTTCTTTGTGAGGGGTATGAGAAAAAAGATTGTAAGTTACATATCAAGCCCATGATTTTCCAGGTAGACTGAGGTTCTTTGTAGTGCCCTAGTAAATAAGTTTACCGAAATTGAATAAGAAGGAGATCTACAGGGAAATATCATTAAATAATTACGCAAGGATAACGTGGTTCCAGGGAACTTGGACAGGTGACAGGTTGCCGCGGTCTGGGAAATGGGCACAGAGCGGAGGCCTCGGTGCTGAGTAAGAGTCCTGCCCTCGGGGCTCCACAGGCGGAGGGGGTGAGGCGTCACCTCCCCGACCCCAGCTAGCTGACCCCAGTCATGAGACAGGCCGCGGGCTGTGCTGGTGATGTCCTCGCTGTCCGCTCCGAGAAAGGGCTGGCCCAGGATTTGCCAGGGAAGGGGTGGGGATGACAACGAAAGGGCCAGACAGTCTCCGTGCAAATCCTGGAGCAGCAGCTACCTCAGACCAGGGAACCGCCGTAGCAATTTTCGTCCCCACCTTGTATGGCTGGCTTTTCGTTGGCATTCCTGGTGGCCCCTTGGAGGGAGGACAGGAGCTGCAGGAAGTTTGGTATTACTTCCTTATTAGTGAAGTTGCCGTCTTCCCATGGTCTCAGAATTTCCATGGCATGCAAATGCCTGGGTGAGGGGCGCTGATGAGGAGGTGGCAGGTGGGGGCATTTTGAAAGCACCGTGGTGT